AGTTTATACGAATTGTTATACGTTTATGCAAATCCAAATGATTAAAGTATAATATGAATTCATATCGATACTTAGTCAATATGTAGATATTCATAAATACCTCTTTGAATATGTACTTGTACACTTGCAAAAAGTACCATTCCACTTTTAATATTACCAATTTATGTTTGACATATGGAATAATTGATTACGTTAACCAATCGTAATCGTAAGTAAATGTTGAGAGAAGGGTGGGATTAGTATCAAGGTCATTTTAACAAGAAATGTTATCAACAGATTAGTATTCAAGGTTTTGATTTTTTTGTAAGGAGTATTATAAATAAATTGTTAATTATACATATGTATGTATATGAAAAGCCTTTTTAGTAACATATGGAATTATCGCTAATGAATTTTATTTGATTTTGTGGGATGGGTTAGGATTTAGTTAATAAATGTCATTTCCATTAAAGTTCCTAAAAATTTTAAATAAAATTGGTTTGTATTTATGTTAAGCAGAGTCATGTTGGCAAGACTATGATCTTTAAAGTAAAGGCTATGAACAATACTAAAGATTAGAAAGTGATCTTTGCACCAAACACTCCGATTTTTAGATTTATAATAAATACACAATCATTACACTAAATATACTGATCGTGATAAATACGAATGACACTGATTATTATACTAAAGACTCTGATCGATAAGTCACTGGTCTTTGAACTTCAGTCACCGATCGATCGTTGATGATGATATTTTTATTAAAGATAAGTATATTTTTATTAAAGATTCTTCTCATTCTATACTGATCTTTGATGACATTGATCTTGGTAGAGTCATATTGGAAAGATTATGGTATTTAAAGTAAAGACTATGATCAATACTAAAGATTAGAAAGTGATCTTTGTACCAAAACCATGATGATTGTACTTACGACATCGATCTTTGTACTAAAGACTGATGACACTGATCTTTGTATTAAAGATATCAGTTTCACAGGTTAGCACAACTCTTTTTCTTTCAAATATATTTTCCAAAAAGTTTTTTAGGGATACATTAAAACTGTATAAATTTCCATTAATTAGGAATATTTAAATCAAAATTTTAACTTTTGACTACAAAAATGTAAAGCAGTTTTTTTTAAATCTTAACAAATTCCTAATTTAGTATTTTAACAGCTCTAAACAAAATTTGAATTTGTTTTCTGAGAATTGCCATTTTATATCATTTTCAAAATATTTCCCAACCTCAAATTCATTTATTTACATAATACCTATTCACATACTACATTTTTCTAAAAACAATATTACAAAAATGTGCATAAATTTCCAAATAACTTTCTTGCAGTGTAAAAATGTAACACAGACAATTTGCATTGAAATTTTTGTAATATTAGCATGACAAAAATACTTTCTATGAGTATTTACAAAACAAAAAAATATTTAAGGAATTTATGTGTACACACACATACATACACATACAAATATGTAAGGACTCATACAAAACACAAATAGAAAATATCTAAGTCATGGATAGAAATACATACATAGACACAAACTGAAGTCATTTTTCTTCATATGCCAACAGTTAAAGCGTGAAAATGAAATCCTTACTAGGCCCATTATTGGCTGATAAATTGATTAGATAGACTATTTTTTTAAACACTTTACATACATATTTGTAAACAGAAACAAATAGACAAGAATGTGGATGAGTGTAAATAAGTGTATTTGACTTACAGTCTATACATCTATTTGTCTGTTCTCCCGTCCGCCCGTCTGTCTATTCACTTTCTTTAAGAACTATAGCTTTTTTGTGGATTAGTTAAAGAAATACACATGGGCATGTGTTACATAGAAAAATCTCATACTTTGCTGACTTGGCCTGAAAATTGCCATTACAATGTTAATTTTATTATAGCAACTTTTGGCCATAAATTTTCCAACAATCTTTAATGTGTTTAAGATTTGCCGAGATTCAAATTTTATCTATTATATTCGACTAGTATTTGCTACAGGAACTATTTATTTATTGCAACTACCACTAACACCATTACTTTCCACCAATACTTCAATGAATTACAAAAAAAAAAAAAAAACTGAAATTAAGTGGGAAAAATGTGGGGAAAACTCTAGGAAAAAATCTATTGAAACATTAGTAAACAAATCGCTAAAAGGAAGACTTGGACAAAGTAAAACATTTTGTACAATGTTGAGTGAGAGTATTTATTCATGTTCAATGTGTATATTAATTTCCTGTAAATGCACTATGGGCTATTTAGTAGATAGATAGATAGATAGATAGATAGATAGATAGATTAGATAGATAGATAGATAGATAGATAGATAGATAGATAGATAGATAGTATAGATAGATAGATAGATAGATAGAAGATAGATAGATAGATAGATAGATAGATAGATAGATAGATAGATAGTAGATAGATAGATAGATAGATAGATAGATAGATAGATAGATAGATAGATAGATAGATAGATATATAGATAAATAGATAGATAATAGATAGATAAATATATAGATAGATAGATAGATAGATAGATAGATAGATAGATAGATAGATAGATAGGATAGTGATAGATAGATAGATAGATAGATAGATAGATAGATAGATAGATAGATAGATAGATAGATAGATATATAGATAGATAGATATATAGATAGATAGATAGATAGATAGATAGATAGATAGATAGATAGATAGATAGATAGATAGATAGATAGATAGATAGATAGATAGATAGATAGATAGATAGATAGATAGATAGATAGATAGATAGATAGATAAATAGATAGATAGATAACAAGAAATGTTATAAACAGATTAGTATTCAAGGTTTTGATTTTTTGTGTAAGGAGTATTATAAATAAATAGTTAATTATACATATGTATATGAAAAGCCTTTTTAGTAACATGTGGAATTATCGCTAATGAATTTTATTTGTTTTTGTGGTATAGGTTATAAAATAAATGTCATTTCCATTAAAGTTCTTAAAAATTTTAAATAAAATTGATTTGTATTTATGTCAAGCAGAGTCATATTGGCAAGACTATGATCTTTAAAGTAAAGGCTATGAAAAATACTAAAGTTTAGAAAGTGATCTTTGCACCAAACACACCGATTTTTAGATTTATAATAAATACACAATCTAACACTAAAGATACTGATCGTGATATATCTTATACGAATGACACCGATTATTATACTAAAGACTCTGATCGATAAGTCACTGGTCTTTGTACTTCGATCGATCGTTGATGATGATATTTTTATTAAAGATATAGATAAGTATATTTGTATTAAAGATTCTTCTCATTCTGTACTGATCTATGTAATGATGACATTGATCTTGGTAGAGTCATATTGATCTTGGTAGAGTCATATTGGATAGATAGATAGATAGATAGATAGATAGATAGATAGATAGATATAGATAGATAGATAGATAGATAGATAGATAGATAGATAGATAGATAGATAGATAGATAGATAGATAGATAGATAGATAGATAGATAGATAGATAGATAGATAGATAGATAGATAGATAGATAGATAGATAGATAGATAGATAGATAGATAGATAGATAGATAGATAGATAGATAGATAGATAGATAGATAGATAGATAGATAGATAGATAGATAGATAGATAGATAGATAGATAGATAGATAGATAGATAGATAGATAGATAGATAGATAGATAGATAGATAGATAGATAGATAGATAGATAGATAGATAGATGGATTTTGTATCTAGTAGGTCAATATATTTTCAACAAAATTATTGTTGTTATTTTGCTCTTTTTATTTGAGTTCTAAAAATTTTTTAAAAATTTTCAAAATTTTACCCCACTGTGCATTCCTCTATAAATTGTATTGGTAATTTCCTTCCCCTTGCACATATTCAATTACAAACAACGCAAAAGAGCCTCCAAAAAAACATTTAAACACTACACACTCTCATAGAAATCTCCAATACCAGCCATTAAAGCTTAGGGATTTTTTTTGTGTGGGGACTAGGCAGCGAAAAGAAGAATGTTGCCAAAAAGTTTATCTTTAAACAGCGTGTATAGGCTGTGTGTAAATTTATGTAATGGTGTGTTGAAAGTTTAAATTTCTTAAATAAGGATGTGTGGAAAATATTTTATTCTTTAAAATGTAAATGTTAAATTTATTACTAAATAATGTTAAACTTATCTACTAAATTCATTTTTCTCCCTATTTTCGATTATTAGTTGAAATTTGTTTAAGCCAAGGCGAAATTTATGTTGTTTATTTTGACGTTAACAAATATTTAACCAAATAGTTATTTACATATGGACAGACTTTTTGCCGCATAAAAATTGGCAAATAAAATTGAGGTCGTCATCTTAGATAAAAAGAAATGTACGGCA